CTTTTCTTTTTCTTTTTTTTCTTTCTTTTTTCCTTCTTTTTTTTTTCCGCCCGCCGGAGGTACGCGCGATTTGGAATATGGGGATCTGGGGATCTGGGGATCTGGTGGGTGCTCACCGTTTGTTGATATTGACATCATGGCATCGGCAAAAAAAAAAAGGGGGGGAAGATTTACGGACTTTTAACGTGCGGCTACTGTAGGTGACGACTGGGTTTGGGCTTTGTGTGTGTTTTTTTTTTTTGTTTTTTTTGAGAAGGGGGAGGGGGTTTTCTTGTACGGTTCTGCTTATCTTCTGCTTGTGTTTTCTCGCTTTCTTCTGGCTTTCTTCTTCGAACGCTAGCAGCAGCAGCAGCAGCAGCAGCAGCAGCGGCGGCGGCGACGATGCGGCTGGGACTGTATAGCCGGTATAATCAGTATACGGTATACAGGAACATATCGAGTTCATGTATGGATTAGGCTGGGTAGGGTTTGGGTTTGGGTTTGGGTGAGCTTGCAGGTCGGATGTATGTAGTATGTATATATACCCTTGCCCCTGTTGAGGTTGTGATAACGAGCCGTTCTGTCAGCTAGCTTCCTTAGCAGCAAGCTTTTTAGTCGTGCTGCTGCTGCTGTCGCTGCTGTTGTTGTCGCTAGCAGCTTCCACTTCGCCACGGTACTAATATTGCCTATGGCGCGTTGCACATGAAAGCCTATAGCTGAGTTAAGAATCGTAGCGCCTTGCCACTTGCAGCTCTGAGATAGCTTGATGATCAATGAAGCGCTGGTAAAGAGGTGATTCAAGCTTGCATCAAGCATCAGCCTAGAGGAGGTTGCGCTCGTGAGAATGGCAGACGAGGGCGGTGTCTTTCAAATCGTTGTCGGATCACAGAAACGGGGGCTTTCAAAGGCGGAGAGCTTTCAGACGAGGGCTCGCGGTCTTTTACTCTTCCATTCTTCATCCCGTCTTCAGGTCGCTGGTCGTGTGGAGTGCGGCGGTGAGTTGGGGGAGCTCTGAAAGGGGAGTTTGGAAGGTAAGCGCTCGAGGAAGGGGGATAGGTAGGTTGCTCTGGTATGCAGCAGAGTAATCAGGAATTTACTGCTGGCCTGCTGCAGCTATTGCTTGTTCGCAAATATCTTTCTTGTAGAGGTTTGATGGCTTGAGGTTGTGGATCAGACGCGGTTCCACCTACCTCATATCAAAGAGGATCGAGTCGGTTCGCTTAGCTTCACTGTTTAGGTATAAACCCATCTACAGTATAATGTATTGATAAGGTTGGTGTAGGAAGAGTTTGTTGTAGGCGTATACCAGATTGGCATTTACAACTACCAAGTCAGCTTCTACGTTTCCTCGGCTCTCGAGCTCGAGTAACAAGAGCCCGCAGGTTGTTGTTGTTGTTGTTGTTGTTGTTGTTGTTGATATTGTGTTTATTAACGTCAGGCGAGTATCCAAAACGCAATGCTTAGACCTTAAGACCTTCTATAAGGTACGGCGACGTGCTCAATAAAGAAGTTATATATAAAGTATTATCTAATCCAAGTAAAAACCACGTTAAAAAAAAGCTCTCTTTCAAATAACCCCAGGTCTTTAATCAGGCGGTATCGCATAACCTTTGTAACTTTTCGAAGCAATTCAAGTTGGTATAGCGCAATTGTTATCGATTGCGCTTTTTTTTTTTTTAAGAATAAGATAGATCTTAAGAAAGATATATCTTCGTCGGAGGAAAAACTTAAAGAGCAAGTTATAGCGTAAGTAACCTATATCGGTATCGATTGTCGAGATGATTCGAGGCCGGACCGGAATCAGTCAAGTGGCTTTTTCGAAAGCGCAATATCGTAGATCGTCTTAAGCCCTCTTCTATCTCTTTCACCCCGTTCCCTTGTTATCGCAAATCCTCTTGGTATTTTCAATCGGTATGCCCGTCAAGTATAGATCGTAATCGGCGGGGTAATCGAGGTAAGAAAAGAAGGCTCGTTCGGATCCAGGAACAACCTCATCCGTTGTACGCTAGAGCTCGTCCATAGTTCGCGTAAAATTTTAAATCTAAACTTTAACTTTTTACTATTATCGACACCCTTATATGCAATGCATATTCAATCATTACAACTAATAATCTATTTAATAGATTCCGTTAAAGTGATAATTAAATTAATAATACAATTGCTATTTGAAAAACTAATAGTCGGGGTGACTCATTCATTCACTTTTAAATTATGTTCATAATACAAATTTAAGCGACACGAGATTAAGCCTCAACTTCCTCTACTAATACTCATATAGCTTTCCTTTTATTTTCTTTCTACATTTTTAACTATAACAATTACCATAACTACAACAACTACAACCTGCCATAATAAGAATAAATTGTTGAAACTCGAGGGTAGTGTGCTTGTAGTAGACATGGTGGTTGTTCTTGATAAAGGTGGAGATTTACGCGAACTATAGATGAGCTTTAGTGGACCATTGAAGAGCGACCCCTCTGTTCGGATCGCCGGTAAAAGAAAATCTCTTCGAAAAGCTACTTTGATTCAATTTCGGCTCTCCAAACTTTCTTTGCCGCAGGAAAGAAGGCTCAAGGTTCGTAGGGGGCACCTCGTACAGGTAGAGAATCGTAGCCCCTTAAGAGCCCGCAGGTAAACAAGCAGCGCACTACTATATTAAGTCTTCTAAAAAAAAAATTACATCGTAGCTTGCTTAGGTAACTCTTAAATTAAAGCATTATTATATTATTATGTTACATCAAGTCCGGGTCAAATTAAGCAAGAAAATAAGAATATGAATGAACACACAAACATCCATTTATCCATTTCTTGTCAACTAACATCATCTCATCCCATCTCCTTGTCTATCAAAACAAGAACAAAATCACGCAAAACCCAGCTTTCTGCATAAAGTACATTACTTCCCTCTCTCCTTCTCCTTCTAACCACCGTATCTATCCATCCATCTTTACCTCCATCAATATATAGCCCCTATTTCTAATGCTTAAAAAAGAACATCATTCGAGACCCATATGAAATCTAATTATAGCTTCGACGTGAGCTCGAGATTCATCTCGATCTGAAGTTAATCTTAAGCTCGTATTCCTACCCTTGACACCCACTTCGCAATAAATAAAACATGACCTTCAGCATTTTTCTTCTCGGTTCTCTGCGTATGATCGTCGGAAACAGAAGCGGGAAGGAGGGAGGGAAGAACAGGGGGGGGGGGGAGCCCGATTCCGATTTTAATAAAAGGAAAACGGGGTCCAGTAAGAAGATAGGTGGATAGGTGCTTGTTTGTTTGTATTTATATATATGCATGTGAGCGTATATTTATTTATATATATACCTAGATACTACGTAAGCATAGAGATATCATAAACGTAAATGAGAAAGTCAATTCAATAACCCTTTTTTAATCCTCATTCATAGAAGAAAAAAAAACAGCTACTTATCTACCTACTTACGTACCTACTTACCGATTAAGCCCTTTAGAAATCCTTACTAAGCTCCTCCTTCTCCGCAGTCAAGAACATCCCCTTGAGCCAATCTACTACGTAAGAGCCCACTAATCGTCGGCTCGCTTAGGTAGGCCTCCTTACATCCTTTCAGTCCTAGTCAGCGTAAGCGATGCGGATTTCTCCACCTTACTATTTATTTAATTCTGCATACAAAATACTGCGTCCCAGGCGTGAGTACCTACAGTATTACCCCTCGAGGGTAGGGTAGGGTAGGGTAACCAGGGGGTTTAAAGTGGGAACTACACTTTTCGAGGCACCCTCGAGGGGTAATACCTAGGCCTGTACCATGGTACAATTCACGACATCACCTTTTGTACCTTACAACTCAACCGTATCCTAAAAAACGCATCTCTTCAAAGAACCTTCCAAGGATTTTCCCAGTACGAAAGCCCCGCCCAACCAAGTAGTCCACTGCCACCGGATCTCGACTCTGCCGCAGAACAACAACGACTCGCTAACAAGCTCTACTCTAGAGAGAGGAGAGAGATGCTGAGTACCGTATCGTATCGCAGAAGAGCCGATGTGCGCAAAGCTGAGCGCGAGCGTACCGGTACAAGGAGGATCCGAGAACGCTTTACTGCAGGCTCAATTGTTTACGACGACGGTTTCATGCGTACTTCTTCTAATCCCTCGATGCGAAAGCGATTTTCATGATTGCTATGAACAACCTCGCAAGCGTCAAGTTTTGCGGCCTCGTAAGGAAAGTATTGCTCGACCAACTCCTCTTTCAACTTGATCCTTTTTTCTCGGTAGCGATGGTTTGATAATTAGTCGTACAATCGATATTATCAAAAACCATATTTTCAAAGCCAGACTTTTGTTTTCCTTTTCTTAGTGTGAATATCGATAGCGATAGCTTCGATCCTAATAATAATAATAATAATAATAATAATAGTAATAGAGATTCAAACGGTTTTATTGCGGAGGGCAAGAAACGAGTCAAATTCTAGTAAAAAATAATAATCGATAGTCGAATACTTTATCGGGTAAGCCGATTTTAGATTTCTCGGAAAAAAAAAGTATACTCGCAGATTAATCATGCATGTAGATACTTTATAGCTGTAATACTTAGTAATGGCTATAATATATATATATATATATACACGAAAACCCCGCCTCCGCATCCGATCCGCCATCGTCCAGGCCGACCAAGACTCTACCAAAATAAAAAGAATGTACCTACCTATGTAAGGAGGCCTACCTACCTACCTACCTATCTAAGCGAGCCGACGACTAAGTACCATCCTACTTCCATTGTATTTAACTAAAATAAAAAAAACCTACCTACCTTACCACCCCACAACCATCGCACAGCTACCGGTAGTAGTACTAGTAGTACTAGTACCTAGGTTATCCCCCCACCCCCACCCCCACCCCCACCCACCACCCCCCGCCTTTCTCAACCCCTTCACCCTGACCTGACCTGACCTGACCTAAGCGTCAAAAAACCAAGACAAGGTTCCCTTCACCTCTAAGTACTACTACTACCACCTAGGCTTCCCACCCAGCTCAATCTCACCCACCAAACTCAAATGCCAGTAGTACGTATTGATTACCGTACCTAGATCCCCCTTATCTTCCTTCCTGCGGTTCCTACGGAAGATTTAAATCTTAAATCCAATTCGGATATCGGGCGATCAACCAATCAACCAAGCGAGCAAGCAACCAACCTATAAATAAACACCTACACCTACACCTTCAGCTAAACTACGTACGTAGGTACGGTACCAACCCCCCAAACTTTCTTCCCTTCCGGAAAAAGAGAGAGAGAGAGAGAAGATCCGACTTCTCGGATGGATGGGGGGGGGGAGAAAGCCGATCGAGCCGCTCGGCAAGAATGTTTTCCGTGGGCTCGCGCGCGCGCGCGGCGGGGGAGAGATTTTTCATCTTGATTTGTTCTTTACTTGTTTTTGTCTTTGGTTGTTTTATATATATATACATATATACACACTCACACGTACATACATACACACTCACACGTACACACACACATATACACACACATACATATAAATAAAAACCCATCAACTTTCCAACTCACCTATTTTTCAATTTTTTTCATTTTTTTTCATTTTTTTTCATTTTTTTTCA